TTCTATTACTAATTTAAGATAAAGTAAAACTATTAAAACTAAAGAAACATTGTAAACTTCATTAACTTAGTTAACTTTATTAACTAATTTAACTAAATAAACATAAGAAACCAAGTAAACTTAAACAACTATATAAACTTAGTTAATGACGTTATCATCGTTTCCGAGGTTTCGGTCATTTTGATCGTTAGGCTGCGGCTTAAGAAATTACGGCTTTCTTTAGTTATGATCTGCAGAATTATAATATCAATCACTCTTTTCGAATTATCTCCGCTCCTATTAGTCCAATAATCTTGTATTTTATATTCGTTGGAAAGCTCTTGATGAGACGGTTTTAATGATCGTATTTCCATCGAAATGTAATCATTAGGTCAAAAGTTATTTCATTTAACAATACAAAGAGGCATTTATATAATACATATTCATACACTTTAATTCATTAAATATAGTACATATTTTAGTTACTAAATTCAATATAACAAGATTTTTCTATATTTAAAAATCTGTATCATAATAAAGAACTTTTATATTATAAAATTTGTTATATAAATTTTGCTATAGAAAGAATTAACTACTGTATATTAAGTTATAAATAAAATATTCTATAATAATTAAGAATACTTATTTAAAGTTCTTTAAAATTTACAATAAGTTTTAATAAAATTTATAATAAAGAGTTTAATATAATTTATTATAGTTTCTTCAATTTTAACATTTATTATAATAGTTTCATTATTTTGATATTTCATCATAATTTTAAGATAAGTAATTATAAATAAGAATTAATATAGTTTTGATAAATTTTAGCATTTTAGAATTTTAACTAATAGAAAAAAATCTTTAGTTTTTAATATGTCAAGTATCATTAAATTCAGTTAGTATAAAATTAGTTTAAAGATATTAGATTTAACTATATTATCTCAACATATAAAAATTCATTATTTTTGTGAATTTTATAACTTTTAATAATCAGATTAACTATTATATTTATTAAATTTAGTAATTTTTTAAGTATATGATTATTTTTTAAGATAATTAGCAGAATATAATTTGTCATTTATTTAGTAATATAAGTTGATAAAAAGATATAATATTATTATATAAAGAAGATATGGATGACCTGGGTGATGTATATGACTGTGATGACTAAAGATGGTTCTTATAATTATTTTTAAATTTTTAACGTGTTGCAACTTAAGTTGCAACATTTTGAGTTGCAACTATTTATGAATTTTTATATTAAAATAAATTTACAAGAAGTTGCAACCAAGTTGCAACTTCTTAAATATGGTATCCATCTTTAACAGTAACTAAAATATTATATATGTCTTCTACGTCTTATAGTATTTATATTCTTATATTTCTTATATATATTATATCATTTATATCTTTTATATTACATATATTTATTATAGTTATTATAGTTATTATATTATTTATATTTCTTATATATCTTTGAACACTTTATATAATTATTTTTATATAAATATACCTTGAGTATTAAGATAATAAACAATAAGTTTTATTGTAGATTTTAAATTATTGTCTTTATTTTAGTTTAATATACAATATTTGTATAGTACAGAGTGCCAACAGAGGTAGTATTCATTTGTTAGAGATATATTGAATAAACAATCAACCCTTTTTGACTCAATCTATATGATCTTATAAACCTTTTATCTTCTGCTTATCTTATCACGCTTTTAACCTTTAAGTGATCCCAAAGAACTGACCATAACAATATATATTACTTTAGTATCAATGATAATGAAAAAACTTGTAATAATAAACATAGAAAATCAATTTTTTTTCCTAATAATTATATTAGTATTATTTCAGTACATAATATTTTTTTTATTAGATAATATTAGTAAATATAAATTTTTACTTATTCAAATGCTGTTAAATATTTAGCTATAAATCTAATAAATTATAAATTAAACTTTTATTTTATAAAATTTATAATATAAAATTTATAATAAACTAAATTAATATAATATTAAATTCTATATAATGTAATAAATAACAATTAATTTATTATAATTTTTATATTAAATTTTAAAGTATAACAGAAATTTTATTATACTAAATTAGTTGAATATTTATCAAAAGTTCCTAGTGTTAAAATAATACTAAATTATGTATAGTATAATAAATAATAGTTGATTTGTTATAATTTTTATTAACTTAAGATAAATTTTTGCTAAATAGTATGATTGAATTAGTTAAATATTTGTTAAAAGGTTTAATGCAAAAATAATATATAATATAATAAATGACTATTAATTTTTATAATTTAAGCCAAATTTTTATTAAATTATGTGATCAAATTAGCTAAATATTTATCAAAAAAAATCTTAATGCTAAAAGAAATAATTTTAACTAATATAATTAAAGTTGCTAGATAAAATCCAGAGTTTAAACAGACGTCTAAATGGTAAAGGTAAAACTTGGTTAAATTATATTAAAATCTTATTAAAAAATCTGTAAAATTCAGAAATAGGTAAAACTATATCAAAACTTATAAAAATGGTGAAACTATATCAATCACTTAGTAAAAATTTAGTAAAACTAAAGGTTTAGACGTTTAGCTAAATCTAAAATAAGTTTAGATAAGCAATCTTAAATATAATAAATATATATTAATTTTGATTTTGATTATTTTTGACATCTTTTAATTAAAATATTTTGACTATTTTAGCTATTCAAAATATTTAAAATAATAGATTTTAGTTTCATATAATTTGAAAAAAATTTACAATTATAAATTAATAGTTTTATAATATAAATTTAATTTTGATAATATGGTTTTAAAAATAAATTTGATATTTACTTTTTATTATATTTTTGATATTTATTTATGAACTTATTATATATTTTTTTTATAATAATCTTTCGATTTATAATAAATATTCAATAATTAGTTTTTACTAAAATAATGTAAATACAATTATTTTACAAATATGATATTTATAATAAAGTTTTTATTATAACTATATTAGATATTTATTTAATTAGTTAAATAAGCTATTAATTATTTTATTTGTTATATATATTTTTATTGAGATAGATAGGCAGATAATAATATAAAATTTTATAGTCTAAGCTACTTCTATATAAAAGTGAATTATCTATAAGTTGATATTGAGATTCATATAAGATAAATATTCATTTATATCATTTTTAAAGGCTACTATTTAGAAATAGACCCAAAATAACTCTTTTAGAGAGCATGCTTAGATAGCCTAGACTTCTAAAAGACTGTTAAATTTGAATAAACAGATAATTGTAGCTTATAAGATTATTACTTTTATGTTTTACTAAAGTCAAATAGTCTATAATTTTGTATTTTAATATCATAATTCATAATTATGATTAACTGACCAACTTTTTTATTAACAATGGTTTTAAATCAACTTAATCAATATTATATTTAAAAAATATAATTTTAATATTATTAATTATAAAATTATTAAATATAAAAAATACATTTATAGTTATTTTAGTTTGTATAATGATAAATCAAAATTACTACCTATATATTTTAAAAAAAATTCTAATATATTTATAGAATATATAAAAAGGATATATTAATAAAGATAAATTATTTAAAATATTATTAATAATTAATTATTTAATTCTATTAAAAGATTTTTATGATAAATTTTCTAAAATAATAGTTATAAAATATTATTTAATTACAAACTTTTGATATAATAATAAAAGCTTTAATTCTAATGTAAATAATTTTTTATTAATTTTTTATATTTATTATTATATAAATTAAAATTTTTTTATTTTTTAAATAAAGTAATAATTGTAAAAGAAAAAAACTGATTTAAGTAGATCATTTAGATGTTTATTAAATTGAAGGTATATAATTTTTGATTATGATAATCTAGAAAATGAAAAATTAATAAAGATATTGAAAAGAAGGATCATAATAATTGAAATGATATTAATTTTATTATTAATATTTGAATAATAATAATTTTTTTTAAAAATATAAAAATATAAAATTTTGTCTCAGCAAGAAAAATCACGAGATAGCAGATATTATAAGGGTCATTAACAAATGATTTTCATTGGGTCTTTCATCTACCAATAAAAAATCTGATTATTGAACTTCAAGAACTATCGCGAGTCGGTGGTTCAAAACCGAAACGTTTTCTACTACCACACTCTCTTAACAAGATCTTACTCTCGCAACATAGTTTAACTACGTAGCTTTTATGTAAGTTGTGTTAACGTATACGAGCTTGGCATTTAAAAAGTAGTTTTTTTATGCTCGTTCGCTTGTAACTTATGAGTTTGCGTTATCTGAAAACTTAATAACTGCGAAATTTTAAACGATTCTGTCATATTTGGCTACTACTTGATAATATCAGTAGTTCTATTAGAATAAAAACACGTCTTGCATTACTAGGTTATATGAGGTTTTTTTTTTAAATACATATTTCTTTAAAGCGTGATCCACATTACCGATATATAAATACATCATTAAATACTTAAAATATTTGTTAGCTTTAGATATAACGAAAATGAGCAGCAATTCATATTTGGTGGTCGGATTGCTAGAGAAGGTATCATTCATAATATGATTTTATTGACAAATAACTATTTGTATATTGATTTATCTAAGTTTAAATAAAAATCGTGGATTTAATTAAATGTGACAATTATAGATGGACTCTAGCGATACCGATTTTCGGTACATGGCTACTAATGATTTAATGAATGAGCTTCAAAAGGATGGGTTTACTTTGGAGGAATCTACTGAAAAAAGAGTTGTTCAAAAAGTAATAAAATTAATGGATGATGCTAATGGAGAAGTGCAGAATTTGGCAGTTAAATGGTAATAAATAACTAATTTATTAAATTGAAGTGATTTACGTTCTTTATTCTAATGATCTGTCGTGAATTTTTATTTTAGCCTCGCTCCACTTGTAAAAAAAGTTCGTGAGCCACAGCTACAAGAAATCGTTGATCAACTTTGCAGCTACACAACACAACCAGGAAAAGAAGAATTACGGGATATTGCTGGCATTGGTATTATTAATTTTTTCTAAAGTCTAGTCACACGTTTGATATTAATTTTTATATTCAATTTAAATTGCAAGGCTTGAAAACTGTCATTGTTGAAATACCAAGTAATCTTAGTGCTAGTAATGTGATGCTACGATTAATTCCAAGACTTCTTGCACAACTTGAAGATGTTAGTTAGTTATTTATTACAATTTCTGATTTACTTTTACGAGGTATATAAGCCTAATTAATTATTTTGAAACAGACAAATGCTACATACGAAGTAAAAATGGATACCCTTGATATTCTAAGCGAACTCCTCGCCCGTTTTGGAAATTCCGTCGCTAATAACCCACAAATTCAAAAGAGGATCCAAAATGTTTTAGTACCACTTTTGGGTCATTCGAGACCGGCATTTAGAAAGAGAACTACTGTTGCCCTTGGTAAATATTATCTCTTTATTAATACATTCTCATCAAAAGTTGTTTACTAATTTATATCGCATTTAGGTAATCTCGTGACACATACTCCTGACGACCTATTTAATGAACTAGTACAACAATTACTGGTGGAATTCGGTAGAGCTGGTGATCAAAATGATAAATTGAAAACATTAGTTCAGTGCGTCGGGACATTAAGGCACGTGATATGAACAAAAGTTCTTTTTATTTATGTTCAAAAAAGTGGTTGATTTTTTTACGCGTTTTTTATTTTTTTAGTCGATCAAGTGCACCAAGATTAGGGAAACACCTACCTCAATTCTTACCATTAGTAATTAAAAATGTCGATGCTTGCGATGATGATGAGTTACGTGAAAATTGTTTGCAAGTTAGTTGTAATACATTTTATTTTATTAAAATATATCTATATCTATATAGGCTTTTAAAAAGATCGATTAATTCAAAAATATATATATTTTTTTTATAGGCGTTAGAATCATTCGTGCTACGTTGCCCTACTGAGATCACACCCAATATTAATACTATTATTGATCTTTGCTTAGTTTATTTGAAATATGATCCTAATTATAATAATGATTTGGATGATGAGAATGAAGAAATGGATGAAGATGAAGAGATGGCTACAGAAGATGAAGAGGAAGATGATGATGATGAAGGGTGTGTTTATTATTAATACAAGTTACTTGTTTAATATTGAATTAATTGTGAGAATTTCAAAATCCAGGGACTATTCTGATGACGATGATATCTCATGGAAAGTGCGTCGTTCCTCCTCTAAAGTACTTGCAGCCATTGTTGGCACACGACACGAACTTCTTTCTCAATTATATCAAAGCGTTGCCCCAGCTTTGGTAAATCGATTTAAAGAAAGGGAAGAATCTGTACGCGTTGATGTTCTCCAAACGTTCATTGTTTTACTTAGACAAACGTTGGTGTATGGTGGTGAAGGTTACGTACCAAGAGAAAATGATCATGAACCTAAACGCAGAAGGGCAATTGGTCCTAGCGAGTCTCAAGAAAGGTATAATTTATTTAATATATTATTCTGTTTATTTAAAATCTCTGCTAATTCCATTATATTTTATGTAAACAGCCCCAAACAAATGCTTCGAAATTTAGTTGCTAAACTTAGCCGTAACCTTTCAAAGCAGTTGCTCTCAAAATCCATTGTCACTAAACAAACTGGATTTGTTCTTTTGAGAGAATTGGTTACAGTACTAAATGGAGGTCTTGATAATCATCTCAATACTTTCATTCCAGCCATCGAAAATTCTTTATCCACTTCATCAGATGTTTCGCATCATCATTCAAGCACAAATTCTAATTTAAAGATTGAAACTTTGAGCTTTCTCCGACAATTGTTTAAAGTTCATCCCCCACAAGTCTTCCATAATTATCTTGATAGATTATGTCGTCCTATAATTTCCTCTGTCGAGGATAAATTTTATAAGATTACATCCGAAGCTTTCTTGGTCTGCATCGAATTAGTTAAAGTTATTCGTCCTATCGAGTATAATGTACAAACTAAGGCATATAATGTTCAGACATTGAATCCTTCTTTCAGATCATATATTTTGGACATTTATAATGTTACCATTGCACGTCTCTCAACAACCGATGCTGACCAAGAAGTAAAGGAACGTTCTATTATGTGTTTGGGTGTACTTATATCTCAATGTGGTGATAATTTGAAAGAAGAACTCAAAGTTTGCATGCCAATGCTCTTGGATCGCCTGAGAAATGAAGTTACGCGTTTAACGACTGTAAAGACCTTTACAAGTATTGCTGATAGCACAGTTTGTGCCAGCGAAGAAGTAAAACAAGCTGTAATAGGAGCTATCAATGAAGTTGCAGTTTTACTTAGGAAGAGTCATCGTCAATTAAAGGTTGCCAGTTTAGTATGCTTGGAAGTATTCGTTCGAAGGTATGTCAATAAAATTTATTACCTATAATTTTTGCCTGAACCTAATATTTTTTGTCATATGATATAGATATGGTAATTTCTTGGGTCCTGAAAGTTATTCTCGCGTACTTGAAGAATTGACACCTCATATTTCAGACCAGGATCTTCATTTATTACCATTAGCTCTAAATACTGTAGTATCTGTTTTACGTACTAACCCGCAATCTCTTGGAGCTGTATACAAAGATATATTACCTTCCATTTTCCAACTTGTACAATCGACTCTTGTGCAAGGAGCCGCATTAGACAGTTTGTTGGTTTTATTCGAAACTTTAATAACAACTAATGAAGCCGACTTTAACAAGTTACTAAACGGATTGATTCAACCTGCTTTAGTTGCTGAACAAGGCCAATTAACACTTTCAAAACAGGTAAGCTCTGCCGTTATGTTAATATTGATTAACGATATTTCATGTATATCTTTTAATAATCTTTTCTTCCCAAAAACTTAGGCATATTCAACAATTGCACAATGTATTGCTGTTCTTTGTGTAATATCCCAGAGAAATTGTTCATCAACTGTTAATGATTTTTCAAAGAAAATATCGGTTTGTAGAGCTTTTATAATTATAATTATATAGCAATTTAATTTGAAATTCTACAAAGTTTATATTTTTTTTATTATTTATTGCGTTTTAGGATCAAAGACAATCCGACTCTATGAAATATTTATCTTTATTAGCTTTAGGCGAAATTGGACGTAAAGTGTATGACTCAATTTTAGGTGTAATTAAACATTTGCTAAAATTTTGAAAACTAATAATCATTATTACATTATTTAATAGTGATTTAAGTAAACATGCCAATCTACATGTTATTATACTATCTTTGTTTTCAGTACCTTCCGAGGACATAAAATCAGCGGCTGCGTTTGCGCTTGGTAACGTAAGCGCTGGTAATGTTGGTAAGTATTTGCCAATTGTTATCGGGGAGATCAAAGAAGATCCAAAGAAGCGGTACCTATTATTACATGGGCTTAAAGAGGTATGTACAATGTTATTTAATATTTATTCTTAAACTTATTTAAACGTGGTGCAGTATTAACGTAAATTATTATCGTTTAGATTATTTCTCGTTATTCAAATGAAGAAGGTGTCAAAGCTCTGGGTCCTTTTGCTGATGACATTTGGTACATAAAATTTTACCCTTTAGTGAATTTATTTATTTGTTTATCTATCTGTTATTAAAATCATTATCAACTATTTATAGGAACATTTTGTTTGATAGTGGTGAAAATATTGAGGAAGGAACACGTAGTGTTGTTGCCGAGTGTCTTGGCAAACTAACATTGGCAAATCCCAATAAATTTTTACCAGAACTTCAGGTATTATTTGAGCCTACCACCTTTATTTTTTTTATATAAAAAAAATTATAAATAATATGCCTTTTTATTGCTAGAAACGATTACGTTCTATATCGGCTCAAACTCGTGGCACGGTTGTCACGGCTATAAAATTTACATTTATAAATCAAGGACAAGGATATGATGAATTATTACGACCTTTAATTGTGGATTTCTTGTCATTAATACAAGACAATGATTTGGTTAGTTGATGATAATCTTATTTTTATGTTTTAATTTTTTTATTAATGGGTTGTTATTAAATTTACTTATAGAATGTACGTAGACTTTCGTTGTCAACTTTAAACTCGGCGGCTCACAACAAACCATATTTGATCCGTGACGTCTTGAATCAACTATTACCTTTGTTATATGAAGAAACCCTTATAAAGGTATTCTGCTTGTCAATTTTTGGTAAACACCAAAAAAAAAAGAAGTTCATCATTTATTAAACTTGTTAGGAGCATCTCATCCATATGGTTGAAATGGGACCATTCAAACATAAAGTAGATGATGGTCTTGATATTAGAAAGGTACCAATTTAGTTGTTATTAGATCAATTTTTATATATTATATATGTAATTGACACGATTACTTTCACTTTAACAGTCTGCTTATGAATGCATGTATACTTTGCTCGAAACATGCCTTGATAAGCTTGAAATATATAATTTCTTAACGCGCGTTGTTGAAGGATTATCGGACCAACATGATATTGCTATACTTTCACATACCATGTTAATTCGATTGGCCCGCGTTGCACCAACGGCAGTCACGCAAAGTAAGTTTCAGGTTTGAGGTATTCGATTATTACCATACACTTACAAATTCATCATTTAGGACTTGATGAGGCTGTGGAGCCACTCAAAGGAACACTTACATACAGAATGAAGGATAACGCTGTAAAATCAGAAATCGACAAAAACAATGAATTATGTCGATCTGCCGTGAGAGTTGTGGTAACTTTGGCTAAATTGGCTGAGCATGGTACGTTTAAAGAAATCATTAGAATTCTCCATTGTTACAGACTGAATAATGATTTTTATCATATTTTAGGCGGAAGTACACCCAAATTCGATGCTTTTGTTAGAGATACGAAAGTTGGGCAGTGGGGTGAACAGTATAATGCTTATCACATTGAACTAGAAAGTAAAGAATTTGGTATAGGACACGGTGGTGATACTATGGATCTTTCATAAAATTGGAATGGTTTCTTTCTTCGTATTGCTCAAGTAGATTTCTAAACCTTTTTTTTCTAAAAAAGAAAAAAAAAATATGCATTTATGTACATATATATATGTATGTATATATAATCCTTCAATAAATTAATTAAATATATAGTAATTCTGATGCAAAGCTTTATTGGCGATTCGGAACGTTAATATTTTTGAATTTATTTTAATGCTGTATTTTTGATAAGAAAATGGTGATATAATTTTACTGCGCATTAGATTAAACCAAGAATCGATGTGATTTATACCTCGGTACATTATTACTATTTTTATTTTTATTTATTTACATTTTAAACAATTCATTAAACTTTAAATTATACATGGTGGTATTTAAAAAGTATTTATAAAAAATTTTTGCCGCGTTAATCTGTCAACGTATTTTTTTTTGTTGGCGGACCAAATAAATATTTGTGAATAATTTTTTAATCATTTTTTTTACGCGTAAATCACGTTTATTTCGCAAAAATAAGTATTACATACTGTATAGTCACTTGATCATTTTCCCCACTTAATTAAATTCAGATTCAATTTCCATTTTAAGAATTAAAAAAAAAATTAATACGTGTACAAAATGGTAAAGAAACACTTTTTTTTCCTTGAATTAGTTCCTGATTTGTAAAAAAAAAAAAAAAAAAAAAAAAAAAAAAAAAAAAAAATACTGGAATTGATACCTGAATTTTTTTTTTAGCAAGCAAATGATTGTGCTTTTAACGCGTTGGGGCGAAAAAAAAAGCGAGATAAACAACAATTAATGAAATTAATACATTAGATGTTATATATGTATTCATTCATATGAACATGAATGAATTCTGTTTGTCTTATTTTAGATTGAAAGGTTAGGATTATGTCAGCGTTTTCGCATAATCTCGGGGAGCTTATAAATTAATTTTATTACACGTCAAATCCGAAAACGAAGAACATATGGGGCGTTTTTTTTTTTTTTTTTTTTTTTTTTTCGTTGATTATTAATTATTAGTATATCATAGTAAAAATTTCCCCCTAAACTGGCAAAACTTGATCAAATTAAGAGATTATTTCTTAATTAGATAGATATCATGATTTCTTGATATTTTATTATTTTTATCTTTCAAATGGTACAATTAGTAATTATTTATTATTATTAACAATAATCATAAGGATCATAAAAATGTATTTCATTAAGGAAAAAATCGCGTTATTAAACAAGTAAACGATTTCATAATGATATAATCACATCTTAAAACAATATCAATAAAAAAATTTTATTTATAGTTCTTTTTTTCCTTGTGAACTACAGATTTTCTGAAATTACATTTGTAAATCACACCATAATCAGGAAAATATCACATCATAATCTTTTTTCCCCACAAAATATTATTGTTTATTTTATCTTATTTTAAATGATTCTGAAATAAAATAAAAAAATTTAAAAGAGATAGTAAAAAAGAGATTCACAAAACAGCCAATCCGTTAGTAAAGAATCGATTTGACCACGGGTAAAAGTTTAGAATGAGATAATATGAATTTATTCTTACATTGTCAAATTGAAGTATTTTAAAGTTTTTCAATAATACCAAAAAACTTTATTTTAGCCTGTGATAGTTAACGTGCATATTGAAAAAAAAGGAGCGTACAGGTGCATACATCAAATCAATTCATCAACTTTTTGCTTATTTAATCACGAGATCAAAAAAAAAAAGGGTTGGGCAAGCGCCCGCTTTTTTTTTTTACCAGTATCATCATCATCATCATCATTTATTTAATTTATTATAATTATTATTCCCATTCACATTCACATTCAAATCAAAAATAAAATGAGATTTATAGTTTAAGACTGATTGTATGTATTATACTTGTTTTTTATTATTATGTTTCTTAAAAGAGAATAAAAAAAAAAAAAAAGAATATTTCATCGAGTAAAAAAGCATATTTTTTCCCCACAATTTGTTCAATTTGTTTTAATTTTATTTTGATGATTTTTTTTTAAAAAAAAACAAATAATAAACAATGAAATTTTTTTTGTAGAATAAGATAGAATATAGTAAAGATAGAAAAAAACTCATCCGATTTCAACACAAACATAAATGCAAAAAATAATATATTAACAATTCTTTCCAAAAGGATAAAAAAATCGTCCGTGTTTAGGGGAATAAAGATTTTTTTAGGCAAAAATATCAACAATAACAACAACAATAATAATATTAATAATAATATTGCAATGATAAATCACGGTTTTCTCACACTTTAATACAACAATATGTTGGAGAAAAATAAAGCCAATCTTTTTTTTTTTAAGGTCATTTGCTTCTGTCTGCATTAGAAAAAAAAAATAAAAAGAAAAAAATAAAATTTAAAAAGAAAATAAAAAAAGAGAGGACCAACTTATCCGATACGTCGTTATCAAAGATTTCGAAGAATACGAAAATTTATCATTGTAAAAAGATTCCTTTTTTTTGAGGAAAAAAAAAGAGTCTTTGATCTTTTTTTTACCTTTGACATGCATCTATGCAACCAAAAAGATTTAAGATTTCATTGGCCTGATAAAAAAGCTTTTTTCCACAGGAGAAAGGTATAATAATACATACAGTACAGAACATAATTAAACACAAAGTGATACGCAATAATACAGTCGGAATACACAAATATACACATTATACAGTATCATTTTGCTAACAATAAGTCCATTAATGAAGAATATTCATTTCGGAAAGGGAAAACTTTATTTTTTATATAAGGAGATTATTTCCTGGAATCCTGGTATCGTGCTTGAATTCTAACCAAACATGGAATTAAAAAAGAATTCCACAATTTAAAATGTTGATGTCCCTGAGACCATATAAATCATGGTACATTAAAAAACTTTAATGTAGACTTTTTTTATTATACCATTTTTTTTTAATCTGACCAAATGCAACATCTTTAGTGCTAAACACGACCACAACTTTTTTTTGATTTCTTTTTACATCATGATAATTTCTTCAATGATAATTAGAAAAATGGAACATGTATAAGACAATATTAATCACATGATATTATTGTAATATCGAAAACCCAAACGGTTAATACATCTAAATATCATCATCACTTATTATGTAATACAGCCCATGCAATGTAAGGAAAAAAAATGTATCACCAACCAAACTACCCAAAGCAACAATTTTATTAGAATTTCCGTTTCAAATCAATCGCATGTATCACCCGCAGTAATGTCGAGATCCTTACCTCATGAATAAATGCCCTTTTGGCCGATTCTGTTTGATGAAGGTTTTTTTTTTAATTTGGGCGCGGGGCTTATCAACGCTCATATGCCAGTTGGCTGTACGGCAATTTTTTCGTGCTCTTCTCATTGCGTCTTTGCTAAAGTTAACCTAATTGAAGCAGTCATTTACCCTTCTCATTGTTACCTTTATCGACAACAAAATATAAACAAAATAAAAATAAAATAACAAATAAAAAAAGAGGGCCGAGAGCTTCTAAATTTCTTTTTACAACAATCCATTTCTGTTCAACACTAAAATCATTTACAATGAAATTCTTGAAAAAAGAAAGAATTTTCCCAAGTTTCAGCCTTTCTTGAAGATAAACTAAATTTAACTTCAAACACGGAAACGTGACTCCTTTTTCTTTGACTTTTCTCACACATTCATTTATCTCTCAATTTCTCCACATCGTTCCATTGCCTTTTCGGGAAGATAACGTGTTTTTTAGTTAAAAATAATTTTTTTTTTCATTTAGTTCATTACAACAATTAAAATGTTGGTTAATATTTATTTTATCAGGTTATATAGATTAGGCGCAGCCGATTTTCACCGAATGTATCCCCCGTTGAATGGGAACCCCCCTTGATGATTCACCGGGGATATGCGAAAAAAGCACACTGGCAAATTTTTAATCATTGAGTAATTGACACCGTCTTTTACTCGTTATTGTTGTTTTTGTTTGTGAATTGTGATAGGTATGTAATGATTATGTTTTTTTTTTCTGTTTCCCCCGAAATTTAATTTTAATTAAAAAAAAGAAAATCATCATGCATAAAATATAAAAGGGACAATCATCAACAAGACATCTCGTGTGAAATTTTAAATGTCAAGTTAATGAAATCAATGAAATCATTTTTGGTAACAATTTTTTTTTTAGCTTTGATTTTGTTTGGATTTTTACTTTAATGTATGTATGTATTATCATGGGTCATAATCAATCAATCAAATCATAAAAAAAAAACCTTTGAAAGGAAAAAATGTTTTTTTTAGATTTTCAAGAATCTTGTTGTTTTCTGCCAAGATATACACACAACTGGAAGAACTCATCATGACACAACACGAGAAGAAATAATAAAATAAAATAAAATTTTTTCAATTACAAACAACAATCCCAAAGATACACTCATTCATATGAAAAGAAGTTGTCTGCTTATTATAGGTTGTCAAAAAGTAACCTAATTTTGGAGCGCCATTCAAATAATCAAAATAATAAAATCAATTAGTTAAATAAAGCATAAATTAAAAATTTCGATTACAATGATTTAAACCAAGTTAATTCCGGTGGATACCGATTATTGATCATTTAAAAAGGATTGTCCTATTTAAGATGTTCTTGTAAAACAAAGTTTATATCTTATTGTGTATAATATTGGTTGTGTACTTTATGATGGAATGTTGTGTTGATGTCTTTTTTTTTTGGTTATGGATTGTGCTTGTCAATGTTATTCTCTTTATTCTTCCTTGTGTCACCATTCATCAAGATATCTTTTTTCCATCATCATTTGATTTATTTGATTTGAATGTTAACAAGTCAACAATCAAGTTCATTAAGGTTTTTCTTTAAAAAAGAAAAAAGAAGGTTTAGCTAATTTCGGACATGATAAGTCGTTTCATAGTTTAACAAGTGATGTGCATATTTGTACGTATGACAATTTTAATTAATAATAATGGCACATCATATATATAATTACCTGTCATAAAACTTGATTGAATACACATGTATATATATAGACGTATATTTATTATTATTATTATTATTATTATTATTATTTTATTTTATTTTATAAATCTTGACCATTTTAAGAATGAAATCAAAAAAAAAGGAATTCCGAATAAGAACCGAAAACTGTAAATAACAATACCCGAAACCAAAATAAAAAGATATTTTGATTGAAGAGTCGAGAAATGTTACAAGGAAACCGCAGTCCCTTTATTTGATGTTATTTTATTTTGTTGTGACTAACACGCAATTCAACACTACCTTCATAATATGATTTACCTGAACAAGGAGATGAACACCTTTCATCAAAAAAAAAAAAAAAAAACTTGTTCTTCATCCTGAAAATTTACCAAATTTGAATACCATATTCTCTTCATTTTTGAAGTCAATACGAGATAATAGGCAGGTTTAAGGTTTTAAAAAGAAATTGATTATCAAACTTCGTTCTATCAATGGAAATTTTAAATATTCGGTATACTTTTTTTTTTTGTTTGATGTTGCGCGTCAATCATCATTCAAAGAGGTAATTGACCGTGTTACTCTATGAGAACATTAAAAGGTAATACATTCCAAATATTCCCAGTTTTACTTGGAATGGTAAAGAGGCTTTTTTGAATTGATATTTTTGGCATATTTTTTTTTATGAAAAATTAAAAATAAACAAAGCAATCATCAAAGTTACAGGAAACAAGATAGAGAACGGGGAAAAAAGGAGGGAAAAATAAAACCCTAATAGAACAAGGCATCTATCTAGAATGGAACAGTTAAGGGGGAAGAGGAGGTTTGATGAAACAACAATAAGGTTACGAAACAATATTAATGTTTTATTTTTCTTTGAGAACTGACTAAATTTTTTTTTTCAAATGTATAATTAACGTATAATTACTAAAGAGGATCTCATCAGCCTAAGCTTTAAAGCTAGTCTCGTGGCATAACCTCGTGTTGTTGAAGCATCAAGCATTTGTGTGGCGGATGATAGGACGCGGGGTTATTTGTTTTGGATCGTGTAGCAAGTGGGGGAAGTTAAATTGTCTTACCAAGAGTAACTGTTTATAACCTGTGTATGGGTATTTCAACAAAAGAAACAACAAAAAGCTTGTGATGCTTGCAGAAAGTAAACAATTACTATATTTCATTAAATTTACAAATTAAATAAATAAAAATGTATGTGAAAATTTTTTTAACTTTACCTTTCATGAGAGAGATAATTTTTTTTTTGATGCCTTGTATGTGAGACCATATGTGATGACTGTAATATAACGAACGCCTTTTGATTATGATTATTATTACGAACTAGATTTATATTAATAATTTAATTTAATTTAAAATTTTATTATTCCCTTTGGGAAATCTAAAATGAAGCACACAACACATGTTAGTAAAAAAGCGAAAAAGATGTATGATAACGCCATATTCTTGAAAATAGATCGTCCCACAAAGAAAAGCAGAAAAAAAAAATAAAGAAAAAAATTCAAACTAAACCGAATATGCATCATTAACACACTCAATTCAATTTGGAATTTTTTTTTTTTTTTTTTTTTTTTTAAATAATCATAAAAAAATAAATAAATTAATAATATTAATAATAATAATAATAATAATAATAAGACCAAAATAAAATAATAATAATAATAATCAAAACGGCACGCACACACACACACCACACACATCCACTTTTTTTTTTACGTGTGTGTATTGTGAGATGCAAAAACAAAAGAAGAAAGAAAATCTAGGAAAAACTTGAATGTGACTTTTTAAAGTTATTGGATGCTTGAAATGGTCTGATTCGTCTTTCTTTAATTCTTTATTCCTTTTTTTTATACATTTTTTTTTTGTTGTGAATCAAAATGAAGTTGAAATTATGGTAGTCAAAGTGAATCGTTCTCCAATGGTATCAACGCAAATGACGATCACGAAATTAAGTGGTGCAAAAAAAAAAGCAGATCATCAATTTCGGATGAATGCTAATAAATGCTAAACACCTAAGCTTTGTCATTGAAAAAAAGCGTTTAACCACATTTCGAATCCATTTCTTTATGTCCTCGACGAATCCTTACCAAAAAAAGATAAACGCGAAAGCATGTAAACAGGGAGAAGAAAAAGAAGGGAGGGGCGTGTGTATGTGTTGTGTTGTGTGTATATGCTCAATTCTTTATTAGTTTCGCGATTCAACCGATTAAGCAAAAAAAAAATTTATATAACTTTATTAAGTGGTGATTTATTTTATTTACTTTAAAAAGGCATTGGGTGAATATGAAATGATGATGATGTTCGTTATGAGTAAATAAATATAAACCGAAAGATTACACGTTTTCCTTCATGATCATCTTGTCATAAACCGGTAATAGATATAGTTTGAGAGTTTTGGAAGCCACTTGGCGTACATTTTTCTTTTTGTTTTTTTTTTTTTTTTTTTCTCAATTGGATTTCGCGATTGAATGAAAGGTACCAGATGAAAAACGGGGCAGGTCAACATATGCGTACCGCAGTTTATTATGAGAGAAGGAAAAAAAAAGCCGCAAACGTTAAAGGATATCTTGATTCGCGTGGAATGTTGATATTTTGGGAGATGATTTCCATAGAAAACCATGCAATAAGGTTGTCATCAAATACGTCATGCTTTTCCTTTTTCCACCTTTAATAAATCCTTTTAATAACAAACGTAAACAAGTATAAGCAAAAAGTCAGGAGGCTTTTTACTATAATTAATTAGCCAAACACACTTCCTTGCATCTTGTGATTAATAGCGCAGCATTTCCTTCAATTCTAATAATAATAAAGGAAATTGATTTGAAGTTGATGTGGATGAGAATGGTTAGCTCAAATGGTTTAGTATAAATTAGTACATTAATATAAGCACAACGGCTATGCCATAATCTTTATGATGATCAACCTCATAGACGCACTTTCTTTCCTTTTGATACGCTTTTTGATAAACTGGACGCCCCTACCACTTAGACTTTTTACATTTTGAGTAACTAAAAACAAACCACATAATCCCTCAACATTAAATTACATAACGTTTCAGCCAATTAGACGTACGTCAAGTCCTTTGTTAAGTTTCGGGATTTTTTGAAACACGCTTTATCTTTTATCAAAGGTATTCCCTAATTTATGATTTTGATTATGATTATGATTATGATTATGTTTATTATTGTTATTCTTATTGTTATTATTTCACATCTGCGTAAGGATGGGTAAACATCGGAAACCTTTTTAAGGTTTCCACCACCTTTTTTTTTTTATATTCATCTTATTCTATTTTTTATTTTTTTTATTTTTTTTTTTTTTTTAAAAAAAAAACTATTAAAGATTAAACAAAGGATGGACAGATTAAAACTAATATTACAGTTGGTTTCCAATAAAAGAAGAATGTCATACCAAGAGATAAACCTTACTTTGCCACTCCCAAAGAAATGTCTACCTACCATCATAGGTTACATGTTTTACAGGAAAAAATGTAAATATAAAATAGAATAAAAAATATTTTCCTCGGAAAATCGGCGTAAACTTGGTTGAATACCCGTTTCACCCATTCAATATTAAGAAGGAAGAAAAAAAAAGAATGTGTATTTACAAGAACAACAACGACGACGACAACTACAATTGATATCTATTTGTGTTTGTGTATAAAATGTGTTGGAATCACTCAATTTTTGGAACACTTGATAATAATGGATGCATAAAAAAAAAAAAAAAAAAATCTTTTGATGTTCAAATCATACATTACTCGGTGCGCACTCGGAAACTCCATTAAAAAAATTTTTTACACTTGATCATTTCTTTTTTCAATATAAATATTTATTAAACCTTCCTGACTAGTCGTAATGATAAACCGGTTTCTGTTTTTAATTTTGTATTCGTATCACCATCCTTTTGAGGAAAAAAGATGTCTTTGTGTAAAAAAGGCAAAGTGGTATCAGAAATTGTTTTGTTTTAAAGTTAGTCACCGAGTGGTTGGTGCCGTGCGGGTGTGGGTGGCTTGGTCCAATCCTGTACCAGCCTAAGGCATGCGATGCTGCGGGCAATCAAACGGTTATTTATATTATTATTAAAAAAGAAAAACAAAAAGGTATGTAGATTGCCGAAACCTAACAACAGGAAAGTTGTGACCCATTTTCGATGAAATCAGATCCGTTCATGTTTACATTCCCTTCGCGAAAATTGTTATTATCATCTTTTTGTATGGTTGAAAAAAAATCATGAGGAAAATTTTTTATTTATTGTATGATTGCCAATCTAGAAATACCAAAAAAAAATATATCCTTATTGATATCATTCAAATTTATGACAATCAAATCAAAAAAAGGCGTTTTTTTTTTTTTTTGAACACCTTGGTCATTACGTCATTATTTTGTACGCTCTGGCTGGTCCTTTCTCATTAGTCCTTTTTATATGCTACTCAATAATACAAAATTTAATTAACAGCTTCCGATTTATTTGCACGAGGGTGCGTTTGACGATTTTAATTGACCGACTTTTTTGTTTGGGATTAACTAATTAGGACTTTGAGCGGCTTTTCTCTCATTATTATTATGTGTCATAGTCAATCCTGCTGCGCCGCGTATCGATGTGCGTCATTTTGAGATGATTTTTTTTTTTTACACATCTTCACGTGAATGAAAAAAAATTTGTCTTTTTATTTCTTACGTGTCAAACATCCGAAAATCCACAAAATAAGAAAACCATTTTCAAACTAAGAACTATGGGCGTAATTTTTTTTTTTTATCATCTCTTTTTTTTGAACTCAGGTAAACTCGGATAACCCGGATAACTCGGATAATTATAATATTTTTCATTCCCAAAAAATTTTTTTTCTTTATCATACATCTACAGAACAACAAACACACAACCTAAAACGTTGTAATTCGCATAAATCCTTGTACATAATGTCGCTCACATAACATTACATACATTTACATCTTTCTTTTTTTGATAGTTCATAGAAGAATCAAATTACACTTATCTATTCTTTTCATTACACATTTTCCTCAATAAATTTCTAATTTTAAATTTTTCTCTTTTATTTTCAAGGAGGAAAGTTGTATCACTCATATGTTTGGCTCACGTATCACCTTCCTTCTCCTGATTAATGAATGATACCTTCTTTATCCCCATCCTTTTCTATCATGAACGTAAGATAAGACTATTTTATTATTTTTTAACTTACTCTTTTATTTTAATAATTAGGTTTCCTTGAATTTCTGAAACAATCTCATGGAAATGTGCATAAATTTCATCACGTGTCACATAACCTTTATTAATATATTTTTAAAAAAGTTCGTTACACTAATAATACACGATCACGGTTTAATTGTTAATTTAAAAAAATGGAAAACGCGTCAGTCTTTTTTGCGCGTTTTTTTTTCAGTCTTTTATTACGTTATTGATATATTTGTTTTCTTAAGTTTCTTTTTACAAAAGGTTTAATTAAATAAAAAAAAAAAAAAGTGGTTTTCGGTTTCTCAAATCTTAAAATAAATTCTTTAATTTTTGGATATTATAATAACGAATTTCGTTTTAAACTAAATATTTTTGCGAGGAAAAAAAAAAAAATTGAAAAAATTGAAAAGCTTAGAGAGGAGGAGGAGAAAAACTATTTTTTTTTTTGGCGATTTTTTTTTTTTTTTTTTTTTATGCCAAAGTTGACTACTAAGTCTAATTTTTTGAAATTTTTATTATGTTAATGTATGTTATATTGCGAATAAAGAAAAACTAAAAGGAAAAGATGCTAAAATTACAGTACAAATGCAAAGAGAAGAAAATATATAAAAATATCTAAAGAAAAAAGAAAGGAAATCTGTACAAGATAGGAAAAAAAAAATGAAATTTTTTCTTTTTGCGTCATAAATAAACGCCTTTACAAATGAATAGTTCTTTTATTATTGTAAAAAAAAAAAAAGTTGTTTGTCGAATTACACTACGGTAGTTGGAAATGACAAATTATTAATTGGGAAGCCAGAAGATCCCGATCTTGAATTGATGAGATTTGATTGCATTCGTCTTGCGGTGATGTATACCATTGGATTTATAAAAGTCGTGTATTGAGCTTGAGACGTTCTCACGGGTACATTTGTTGAATATGACGAGCGAACATCATAATTAGCCTGCTGAGGTTGCTGTCTTCGCGAAGAATGACTGGTTGTGTACATCACGGAAGAGGAATTTGAGGTGGTGGTTGGTATATTATAATAAGTGACTTGTCGAGTGGCACCGGAGCTTGATGGTGGGGTTGGGTACGCTATCGTTTGGGTATATTGTGGTTGCGATGATTGAACAACTAACTGTTGTTGTGAAGCAGGAACGGACGTGTAAACTGGATATAAACTGGTCCTCTTTGGAGGAGATACCATGATCCCATCAAAAGCCTGTTCGGCAGATCTCTTGAACCCGGTTGACATTGATTGTACGGGAACGAGAATCTGTTGTTGCTGTTGTTGTTGCTGCTGAGTAGACAAATATGATTGTGAATATTGTGGTACAACCATGCCGCAGTCAGACGAGTTGTGATCATCGTTTTCGATGAAAGAGTCCATCTTTCGCACCCATTCAAAATATTGTTGTTCAGAAACGTATAATTCATAATCCAACGAACTCAAGAATTCCATCTCCATTGTATTAATCTCCGAAACCGGAATATTTGTTACTTCTGACCATGTTTTGTTTGTATAGGTGTTGTCATCTAAAAATTTATTTGCCAACATGAGCGCGACGGTAAAGGTCCTGTACTCTGAACCACTTTGACCTTTGATTGTGGGGTTATTGATCTTCATTCGATGAATGTAAAGTAGCGATAAGAGAATCACGGAATGGGAAACTTGAGTGGCAGAGATAACGTCCTTGCAAAACTTTTTAAACGCGTCCCTGGGTTTGTATTCAGCGTATCTCCTGTGACCATTCCCACCTGGGGGTGGTGGTGGAGTTATTATTGAGGGGGTGTGCGGATCAATCAAGTAATCACCGAACCACAGGAAACAAGTCATATGAGAGGCAAATTCTGTTGCGCGCTCAGGTACTTGCTCCAACAACGAGCCCTCTTGAGATATTATCGAAGGATTCTTCGTTACGTTATGATTATTAGACTTTTGTGGTAGTGGTGGTGGTTGTTCTGTGTAGTATTGCATCGTGGATTTCTGTTGTTGTTGAGCTCTCGAAGTATAATGTTGTTGATCTAATCGCTGTATATTGTATTGAGTCTGTTGATGAACTTGTCTTTGTGGAATTGGTGGAAGTGGCTTTCTTTGTAAATTTATGGTTTGAAGCGAAGAAAAGTTTGAGTTGGTGGGAGGAATTGGTGCGAGTGTGGTGGTTAAATACATGTTTTGTCTTTTACTTTCTGCTATGTATATTCTAAGATAATTAATTCTTTCGATTTCTTTATTTTTTTGGTTTGTCGTGTGAAATTTTACCGCGTTAATGAATTGATATGTGAACGGAAAAATATATATATATATATATATATGTTGTTGTTGATTTCTTCTAATATTATTTTTTGTTAAGTGTCGAAAGTTGTTGCGTTGCAAAGGTAAGTTTTAAAATAAAACTCGCGTCTTGTTTCTTTTTCTTCCTCTTATAAAAGAAGCAAAAGAAAAAATTTTTTTTTTTTGTGTTGTAAAAAAAATTTAAAAACCCAAAGTCAAAAAAATGGCGGTTTTTTATAAATTTTTTTAAATCAAAAATCAATTGTGAATATATATATATATATATATATTAATTGATCTTATTATTATAAAAAAAAAAAAAAAAGGTGGGGAGAAAGTACATGAAATATATATGTATAAAAAAAAAAAAAAAAAAAAGAGTATCGGGATATTATTAGTTTTTCTTTTTGAAAAAATATAAAGTTCCAATTGTGTAAATGTTATTAAATATATAAAAAAAAAGGACATATAAAAATGGATTAGACTTGTTTTTTTTTTGAATGAAAATGGCTTAACAAGATAATATATTTATTTAAAATAATCAGATTATATTATTACTCATAATATAATTGATTGTAATACTACTGTGTATATATTTATTATTATTACACTTATTATACTCGGCTTAAATTTTTATATAGAGAATACGTAAACTAATTTAGGATATAAAAATAATACAAGTCAAAGTAAGTTTTTACTATAAAATCATAATGCCACTACAGTTAGTGACTCAATCATACGATGATGTAGATTATAATTATATTTATATTATTATTATGACTGTAAAAAAAGTAAACAACAAAACCTTATAAATTTATAATACAATAATCACCACATAAATAATCAATCCTGTTTGATGATTTTAGCTAATTTCTTTTTTAGTGTAATGACAAAAATTCTCTTGAAGTTTAGTTTGAAAGGAAATAAAATTTCGATTTTTTTTTTTTGATTGTTGTTTGTTTGATTGATTGGGGAAGTAAATGTAAACAACCGCCCAGTGAAATAAAATGTGAAAGAGTTGCAAGAATTAGTGATTAATTAAATAATGGGGCGAAGGGTTGAAAATGTGAGGTAAATAATAATAATAAAAAAAAATATTTTTTTTTGTCCCTATTTTTTTTTAATGATGTCGCAAGAACCAACATTTGTCCTTTCGTCCTCAATAGGTTTCATCTAATCGATTATACAAAATAGAAATAGATTCTTTTTTAACCGGATTCTAAATAAAAAAAAAATTATCATGCTAAAAAAAAATACGCGCAGCCTGCACAATCGTCATTACCCACCCCCTTTCCTTCTTTCCGTTTAATATTCCGCCCCCGATAAACATGTTAGTCATACTGTAGGAGCTTTCTATTATTCTTTCTGTTATTTGTCTCGTTTTTTTTTTCTTTTTACATTCCGCGCCCATCAATTGTTGACATTCCACAATTTCATAATCAATTTCAAATAAATAAATAAATAAATAATATACAATACTTTTTTTTTTCTGAATTCAAATTTATCTATTATGGAATTTACATATGACACAACACATCGATTCTTTCTCCATTTAACCATTCATCAAACCAACAAATGTTGATATGTGTTATTCCTTAGAATTAACCATAATCCTTGTTCGCGCGCGAATTTCCTGACCTATCATGTGCTAAAAAATCTGCTCTAACCTTCCATATTGTGGAATGTAAAGTCGAAATTTGTGAATAAGAGATAACCTATAATTGAATCCTAACAAATTAATATGAATGATTTTTATTTCCCTAAATGGAAGGTAAGACACGCTTTTTATTTTTTTTATCCCTTTGAGCGTATCAAAGAAAAAAAAAATATTTCATGTATTATGAAAATCCATTATTTTTTTTTTTTTTAAAGAAGGAAAAAAAAAAGAAGATATTACTTGACTTTGTGTAAAAAAAGATTTAGTAATTCTCCCTGCATTGAATAATCGCTTGATGTTTCTACATCACATCCCCATACAAGTTCAACCTTTTTGTTATCTTTTTAATATATCTTCATTATTTGAACGTGTGTGTAACCCACACTCTAGGTTATCTTTTTCGTCAACCTACCCGCCCTCTCATTATAAATTACTAATGTAAGCATGTGATTATATTTTGCGATTTTGATTATATTAATTCGATTGATTGATTAGGATTTATTGATTATCACGCACGTATTCTTTCTGTCTTTCTTTTAAAGAAAATTGGGATCAACAAAAATATAAATACCGAGTTTTGTTATGTTAAACCATAGGGAAACTTTTTGTCTCATTATTTAATAATTGATACCTTTTAGAACCAATAATACAAATTTTTAATATATAATTTATGTGTGGTATCACATAACCTAAAACATTTAATTAAAAATTTTTTATTTTTTTTTTTCCTTCTTGTAATAATAATATTACAAAAGTGGTATTTGTGATTTTTATCACGCAACACATCTATCTCCTCGTTTAATTTAATTACAAACACTTTAATAGATTCCAAATAAACTCTTGAAAAAAAAAAATCTTGAATAAAAAATAATAATTTGTTGGAAATAGATATTATTCTATCATGCTTATTCTAATTTGTTTATTACACAACTATGTGTTACAACCAACCAATTACAATTTGAGAAGAACGAAAAAAAAAAAGGAATGCTGAAACTCTTTTTTTATCCAAGCTTCAAATGGTAAAGATTTCCCATTAGCGATGACCCGGAATTTCCCAAACAACTTTTTTTTTAAAACAAAGTTTATGATACTAATCAAATGAAAATTCTCGATTCTATTAAGACAATAAAAAATGATGTTACTTTTACTTCTTCAAACAATTGGAATTGCAGGCGAATATAATTTGCTCCAAAAGATTTGTCATATTAATTAGGTATATTTGAAAATCACCAAATAATATTTGATATTAAATAAAAATATATAAATATATAAATATATTATTATATTATTATATAAATATTTAATTTACTATATTAAGTTTAAAGTAGGTAAGACATGCAAATGATTTTTCCTTTTGCAGGAATGCGCGTCTTTTTTAACTTATCTGATAATTTCGTAATGATCATTCGTATTTTTGACCTAAATTATCTTAATTATGTTAACTTATTTTAAACCATTCCGTTCATTAAATAAATATTAAAAACCGATCACGATTTTTTAAGTGTTTTAAGTAAATTTTTCGTTACTTTTTTTTTAAAAAAAGAATCCTTACAATTAAGGGTTAAATTAATAAAATATATAAAAATTCCTTTTAAGAAATCTAATGTATTTGAAGCTTGTGTAAAGATATTCAATTATTAAAAATTACCTAAAAATTACAGATTTACTATATTTACTATAATCATAAAATATTTATTTTTAACAATAAGGTTACTAAGTTATCAAAAAAGATATCCTTTAACATAAATTTAATTACACTTGAATACTAAACTTATTAATCAGTCTAATAAATCTTTAAAGATCAGGTCTAATTCCTAAGTTGTTTAATGAAATAGATATAATGTCATCTGAATAGGTATAATTTATAAGATATAATTGTTTTCATTAATTAGTATAAAATCAATCTAAAAAAATAAATATTTGATATTTTAAATTATTAGATTATTTAATTAACACCTGATTTTTATAAAACTATCATTAATAAATTTATATTACATTTTATTTAATAATAATAATTATTCCTTCAATAACTTTCCTTCCAAATTTAAAATTAATTTTATTTACTAATTAAAGTTAATTTTAAATATATTAAAAATTAAGTATCAAACAAATAATATTTTTATAATAAAATTTATAATATTTTTTAAGTAAAATCCAAAAAAAAAAATTTACATTAATTAGTAACTTTTTACATTAATTTAAGATCAAAGTTTTGAATATTTTTTAATAAAAATATTTTCTTTGTAAAAGATAAAATTATTAATTTTTATTAATTTTTATATTATTAAAAAAAAAAAACTTAAATATTATTTATTTATAAATTTAAAGTTGAAAATTTTATATATACTTAATATTTTAATTATTAAAAATGAAATTTTATTTAACAATAATACATTTATAATAAATTTTATAATGTATTTTAACTAAAAATCAAAAAAAAAAAATTATAAATTTCTATGTAAAATTTTGTATAACTAAATTTGAATAAAAATCATTATTAAGATTATTATATAAAAACTAGAACTTAGTAAAACTTGGATAAATTATATTAAAATATTATTAAAAATCTATGAAAATTATAAAAAAATAAAACTATATCAAAGCTTATAAAAATTGCAAAAATCATATCAACACCTAGTTAAAAATAAAGGTTTAAACATTTAGTCAAATCCAAAATAAGTTTAGACAAACAACTTTAATCATTACTATTTAAGAAATAATATTCTAATAATTAAATATAATCATTAAATAATAATAATATATATTATATATTTTTTATTATTAAACCTAAGAATTTTCAATTTTTATAACTTAGAATCAATAGTAAAATCTTCTTCAAAGCTTTAAGGCTGACTCTTACTAAGAAAATTATAGTAAAAATCATCTTCACAACTTTTAAAAATGTATTTTTTACTAAGAGAAACATAGTAAAAAATGATTTTGCAGCTTTAAAAATATTATTTTACTAGAAATAACTAATAAAAATGACTTTGCAGCTTCAGAAATGTTATTTTACTAAGAAAATATAGTAAAAATGTTTCTGCAGTTTTAAAGATATTATTTTACTAAGAAAATATAGTAAAAAATGCCTCTGTGGTTTTAGAAACATTTTTTTATTAAAAAACCTAGTAAAAAATGTGTCTGTGACTTCAGAAACATTTTTTACTAATAAAATGATTATAAAGCTGAGTTGGTGATTATTATTAAAGTTTACTGATTTTCTATTCAAATAATATTCAAATTATTTAGATTAATAAAGGCCTAGTTGAATATTTATCAAATAACTAATATTCAGCGAATAAAACTATTTATTTGAATATTCATTAAATAATATATTATGAAAAATATATTTATCACTTTATCAAATAACTGAATTATATATTTTATTTTAATATTATTATTTTGCAACTAAGATATTTACAAATCACAAAAAAAAATATATATATTTCATTAATTCTTTGGTCTAAATATATCAAACAATTTTATATTTCTTTTTAAAAACAATATAGATCCTAGCAATTCAGATTTTAAACAGAAATAACAAGCAAATAAATGAAGATCAGTATTAGAAAATAACCTTTTATTTGATACAGATATGACAGGTATTGATAAGTATTTTATTGCCAATTATGATAAGGTTAGAAAAATATTTTACTTGTACTTTTCATCATTCTAATGGATCACATTCTTGAATTTCCTTTAGTTAAGCTAAATATTGTATAACTTCATCAAATGTATTGCTTTCATCTTTATCATCTGAATCTTTATATATTCTAAACAATAAATAATTAACTTTATGAGGATTTGCTATTTTATTTGTAGGTAACAGCTCTAGTAAATTAATATGTGAATTATCTACTGATTCTTCTAAAATAATAGCTTGTTCAATTCAATATAATTGTCTAAAACTATTAATTGTAGTATTACATTGCATTTCTGTAACAAATTTAAGTTTTTTAAATTAAAAATCCAATAAAGCCGCAAGTAAAATTACTTCTTTTGATATATTCTAATATTTATACATACTCAAATAGATTGTAACTTTAACATATTCTAAAATGTTGGTAGTAGTAACTAGTGCTTTAATAATCCAATGTTTTTTAAACTATGAATCAACATTTTTACAAATGATTCAATTATCAGTATTGTATATTAAATATATATTTTTATATTCTTATGTATGATTACGCAATGTAATAGAAGATTGATTTATATCAATAATTCTAATATTTTTATTATTTAATGCTAAAAATGCTTGCTCAAAAACTTCTTCTTCTCTATATAAATTTGCATAATATTTTTTATTTTGATCTTTTGGTAATGTTACTTTTTTTTAGATAGCACATTATGCAGTAAACCATATTTAATATAGCATATGTAGTACTTGATAATATTTTAATTACTTCATAAAAAGATGCTAATAAAGTCAGCATATCAGAAAGAGAACTATATAAAAATAAAATAAAATAATTATTTATTTGTTAAATTATTTTATTAATTAATTTAAATACTAAAAATTACTTTCATTTGAATTCAATTAGATTAATTTATTCTAAATAATCACTATTATTCTTATTATCTTTGTCTTATAAAATTTTCAAAATAGTAATTAAGTAAATGATTGCATTTTTTAATTTATATAGACAGTTCTATACAAGATATGTTGAATTTTATCTTGTTTTAACATCAAGTAAAACTTTATATATTTTTAGATAATTCAAATTATGTTGAGCATCTTTAAGATTTTCTGTTTGTTTAGGATTACCTTTAAAAAATAAAATAAGATTGGTAACATACTTTTTAAATGCATCAGTAGCACTAAGACCTTTAATTATACTAAGGTAAAGGGTGTGAGTACAGCATAGTATATATAAAATTTCTATTAATCAAATAGCTTTCATAATATTAGAACTATTAATTGTAGTAGCAATATCAGTAAATTTAATAGGACATAATATTGCATAAACTTACATTCTATAATATTACGAAAACTTACAAGGTCACTATAAGATTACATAAATTATATTTTATAATGTTCTGTAATATTATAACATAATACTACATAATATTATGGAATGTAAACTATGCGAAAGTTTATGATGTAGTACTTCATAACATTATGGTATAATATTATATAAAACTTATGAAAATACAAGAATTTCAAAGTTTACAGGTAGATTAACATAGTTTACAAAAATTTATGTCGTTAATTCATTTATAATATTTATTTAAAACTTTTAATTGTGTAATATTTCGTAATTTACTGAGTTTAATATATTTAAATTTATTTATTTATATACAAATTATGCTTTATTTAAAACAATTTGACAAATAATATGAAAAAAAAGAAAATATTACAAAAATGAGATCACAGTAATATATACCATCATAAGTCTTATAAAGTTAAATATTAAGGAGAATTTTTCTAAATCAAATGGTTGATAAATAAAGAAATTAAATGTTTAAATATTTGATATTTCAAAAAATTTGCATGAAAGTAAAAAAAAAAGATAATTAATAGAATAAAAAGTAAAAAAGAGACAATTAGTAGAATAGAAAAGTAAAAAGGAAGAAAGTTAGTAAATAAAAAAGAAAAAACAATTAGTAAAATAGAAAAATACAAAAAGAGACAGTTAGTAGAGAAGCAAAAATAATTAATAGAAAAGAAAGAAAATACAGTTAATTTTTTACCTTTTTTTAATACAAAATATAATTTTAATGTTACAAATATAAAATTATTTGTATTTTATTTTTTAACCATGTTATTTATTTTTGTTATTTAAATATATACTATGCTTTGATCAAAAGATGATTTTTGACAAGGATATGATATATAAATTAATGTTTGAGGAAAGTAGTATTATAAATATAAAATATGTAATAAAAAGTAAATAAAAAATGTATTATAATAATAAGACTATTATAATAATTGTGCTTTATAAGCTTTTCTAACTAATAATAGAAACATTTACCTCTTCACCTAAATAACTAGCTTTTAAAAAATAATAACAAGTAACCATAAATAATTTTGTTACTAAAATGATAATAGTAGATCAGAAAGAATTAAAAAGTTTACCTACACTTGTAATTTATTCTATAGGCATTCCTTTTAATGTTCTTGAAATGAAAATAAAAAAGTTTTTTTTGCAAAAACTTGTTTTTTATTCAAATTACCAACTTATCAATCCTTTCAAATACTCTTTTAAATTAGGAATTCAAAGATATTAAAACTGTTACTAATCATTTATTTAATAAAATACAATATCTTATATCTAATGAGTAATCTAATATAATAAAAACTTTATTATTAATTATATAATCATTACACTAAAACCTATTTTTTATAAATCAATTCCTATCAAAAATGAATATTATTTTATAGAAAATATCATATAAAATATAAAACTTATAATAAAATAGGCAGGAATTAATAAATTTGCTACTATTATTACTAGTGTTTCGCATAGATCAGATCAGATCTGATTCATATCTGAATCTGACAAATCTGAATCTGTATTCGTATCCAATAGATCAAAAATTATTTTTAACAAAAATCCGCCTCCGCCATTTGGAACAGCATTTTAATGTTAAAAACAACAAATTTGTTGTTTTTTTAACAAAAATCCTGCCTTCGACGTTTGGATTGGCATTTTAATATAAAAAAATAATAAAAATTATTTTTTTTATTAATAAATATCGCATCTGACTTTCAGGATGGAATTTTATTATTAAAAATTAATTTATTTAATAATAATTGCCGCATCTGACTTTTGGAATGACATTTTTATATAAAAATTAATAAAAATTAATTTTTTTTATTAATAAATGCTACATCCGACTTTTGGGTGGCATTTTATTATTAAAATTTAATTTTTTTAATAATAAATGCTGCATCTGACTTTCAGGGTGACATTTTTATATAATAAATTAATTTTTTTATTAATAAATGCCGCCTCTGACTTTTGGGATGGAATTTTGTTATAAAAATAAATTTTTTATTAATAAATGCCGCATCTAACTTTCGGGTGACATTTTATTATTAAACATTGATTTTTTTAATAATAAATGCTGGCTCCAACTTTCAGAATAACATTTTATTATAAAAATTAAATTTTTTTAATAATAAATGTCACATCTGACTTTTGGGTGACATTTTATTATTGTTAACATGTAATTCTTGCAAACTACAACTGTTAGACAGGGTGTTAGAATGTTATTTCTTTTTAATTGCACAGTAATCTTAAGGCTTTTACAAATTGATTATTACGACTAATTCAAGTAAAGGTTTCAAGTCAAGATTTATACAAGTATTTCACGATCAATAATTCACAAAGTAACGAGTAATTATATTTTCAAGTAAGATGTTTATTGATAAGAATAAAAATAGAAATAAAGAAAATAAAGATATAACAAGAGAAAAGAAAAGAAAAGAGAATAAGAAACGAAGTATGAAACTAAAATGTAATACGATAGGCTTGTTTGCCTCTTAAAACTACTAAAAACTGACTTGTCAAATCCTACTTTTTACATGGTCTAAAAAGCTACCTATTTATATAAAATACAGTATATAGAAAGATATAACTAATATGTCTAATTTATTGTATATGTCAAATATGTCTGATATGTTATATATGTTGAATCTGTCTAATATATCTTATTTGTCGATTATGTCAGATATATCATATATATCAGACATGTCAGAAATGTCAGATTTGTTAGATTTGTCAGATCTATCAGATTTGTCAATCATTTGCATCACATAAGTCCTATCATATTTTATCCGTTCACATTATTAAAAATTAAATTTTTTAATAATAAATGCTGCTTCTGACTTTCAGGATGGCATTTTGTTATAAAAATTAATTTTTATTAATTTTTTAATAATAAATGCCACCTCTAACTTTTAGGATGGCATTTTATTATAAAAATTAATTTTTAATAATAAATGCTGTGTCTGACTTTTGAGTGGCATTTTATTATTAAAAATTAAAATTTTTTAATAATAAATGCTGCGTCCGACTTCAGAGAGGCATTTTTTTATTTCAAATCTAACAAATCAGATCTGAATCTAAATGTAAATCTGACAGATCAAATCTGAATACAAATCCGAATCTATCAGATTGAATCAGATTTTTTGTGAAACACTAATTATTACTGATAATACTTCTAATATAAAAAATATAAAAACTATATAAAAGATCCTCTAAGTTGAATACTTCTAATAAAGTATTTCTTAGTTATTGAATATATACTATTAATTTTTGGATAAAAGATATTTTAAAAATTAATTGTATTAGAAAAGGAAAAGAAGTTATACAATATTTTCATAAATATCAAATTTCTTTAGTAATACTTCATTATTTTCAATTGAAAAAATATTAAGATATAAAGTGACACAAAGTGATAAAAATGATTTTTATGTCTGAAATCAAATTTGGGTAATCCAGCTATCCAGATTTTTATTTTTAAAATAAAAATTTTTTTATCCAATAAATTTAATATTTTAAAGCTTTGTAACTCAGCTACATGTTCAGAATTTCATATATTTATTACTGCGTACTATTTTAATTTGTAGTATTAACCTCAATTCTTGTGTTGCTTAAATCAAGCAGTATATTTAATTTATTATATATGTATAGCAAATATATAGAGTGTATAAATAAAATAAATAAATCATTAATTAAAAATAAAGTGTTAAATTCCATTAGCACATACAATCAGACATAAATAAATGACCTATAAAAATTAACACTTAATAAAATTCAATAATAAAGAAAAATAAAGTATATATTAACTTAAACTTTATTATCAATTTTATTTCTGAAGAAAAATTCTTGCGAACTTTTGTTAACTTGACCTATGCTATTTTTATATAAAAATTTAATCATATAAATTTATTGAATAAATTAAATATATTAAACATATATACTTTATACAATAAATTAAATAAATTATATTTATACTATATATCAATTTTATCAAATAAATGCATTAAATTAAATATATTAACTTTATATTATATATTATATGCGTTATGTAAGATATGTTTGATATATTTGATATATTTAATATTCGTGATATTGATCAGCAATCACGTGATAGGTTGGAATTCACATCTCATCCTGGACTAGCATAACAGTAGTATTTTATTATTTGCTGTTAGGGTTCCGCAATTCGATTTGATATTTGAATATTTGATTTGATCAAATTCAAATCAAAGAATGATTTATTTGATTAAATCCAAATCAATGCTTGATTCAATTCGATCAAATTCAAATCAAGTATTCAAATATTTGATTTGATTTGAATCAATAGTAAAGCTATCTCCAAAGCTTCAGAAGTGTTTCTTACTAAGAAAACCATAGTAAAAAGCACCTCTGCGGTTTTGAAATGCCTTTTTTTACTATGAAAAACATAGTAAAAAGCGCCTACGCAGCTTTTGGAGACGTTATTTTACTAAAAAAACATAGTAAAAAGCACCTACGCAGCTTTCGGAGACATTATTTTACTAAGAAAACATAATAAAAAATGCTTCCACAGCTTCGAAGACATTATTTTACTAAAAAACATAGTAAAAAATGCCTCCACAGCTTCGGAGATGCTATTTTACTAAGAAACCTAGTAAAAAATGCCTTCGCAGCTTCAGAAATATTTTTTTAATAGTAAAATGGTTACAAAACCGAGATGGCAGTTATTACTAAGTTTTCTTAGTAAAACCAAAGCTGCGATAGCGATTATTATTAGGGTTCCGCAAAAAATCTGATTCAATCTGAATCTGATCCGATCTGAACCTTCGGATTCAAATCGGATTTATCAGATTCGAATCAAATTTGAATCAGATTCAAACTAAATCTGATTCGTCAGATTCGAATCAGATTTATAAAATTCAGATTGAATTCGAATTGAATTTATAAAATTTGAATTGAATCTGTCGAATTTGAATTTGGGTCTGATCTGAAATCTAATATAATTGTGTTGTGTGTTACATTCTTTACTTTTATTTATATTAAAAATAACGGTCTTTAAAAATTTTATTTTTATTTTTTTTTTAAAAAATTTTCGAACAATACATTAAAAAAAATTTTAAATAAAAATTTTTAATAATTTTTTTTTTAAATTAAAAGAAAAAAAATTAACTGTTTTTGTCTTCACTTTATCTTACCGTTTTTTGCCTTCGTTTTTCCTCGCTCCTTCCTGTTTTTTTTTCTTTGCCTTTTTGTTTTTTCTCTCTTATTCGTTTTCCTTTTTGTTGTCCTTTTCATTTTCTCCTTCATTTTTCCCTTCGTCTTCTCCTTCAATTTTCTTTTCATTTTCCCTTTCGTTTTATCTTTATTTTCCTTTTTTGTATTCTTTTTTATTTTCTTCCCCTTCGTTTTCCTCTTTCGTCTTTCCCTTTATCTTTATCTTCGTCTTCTCCTTCGTCTTCCTCTTCATTTTTCCCTTTTGTTTTCCCTTCGTCTTCCCCCTTCGTCTTCTTTTCTTTGCGGAGAAAAAGTATTACGGGAGTGAGTGAGGAAAGGTTGGATTGGCTAGCGTTTATAACAGAAGCAGAATATTTTAATTCCTTACCATTGTCTTTTTTCTTTTTCTTTTAGGGCGGTTGAGTTGTAATTCCAAAGAAAAACATTAGGTAAGTTTATTCAAATTTTTTTTTAAATTTAAATAAATAAAATAATATACTTACCTTTTTTTTTCTTATTTTTCCTTTCTTCTTTTCTTTTATCTTCCCTTTTATCTTTTTTTTTCTTATTTGCTTGTCATTTTTTCCTGTTTCTTCGTCATGTTTCATTATTTTCTTCATTGTCGTCTTGTTTCCTTCATTTATTCCTTCTCTTTTGCTTTTATATTTTTAGGACGGTTTTTCTTAATTCTAAACAAAAGGGCTCTTATTTAAATAAAAAATTAGGTAAGTTTTTTTTAATATTTTTTTTTGTTAATTTAAAATAAAAATAATAATTTACTTACCTTATTCTTTTCCTTTTCTTTTTTTTATTCCTTTATCGTTTCCTTCTTTCTTATTTGTCATCTTTTCATCTTTTTTGTCTTTCCCTTTGTTGTCGTTTTAATTCCTTTCGTTTTTCTTTCGTCTTCTTTTCGTCTTTGTTTCGTTTATTTCTTCATTTTTCTTTTTTTCTTTTTTTAGGACGGTTGTTTCTTAATTAATTCCAAGCGGAAGGGTTTTTTTTATAAAGAAAAATTATTTGGTAAGTTTTTTTGAATTTTTTTTTTAATTTAATTTAAAAAAATAATTTATTAACCTTTTTTTCTTTCATTGATTATCTC